TCTGCAAATGGAGGTTTTAAATAATTAGACATTAATTTCTTACTATTTTTATCAAAAATGAAACAAAAAAAATTTAAAGGAAACTAAATAAAAAAACGTAAAAATGTTTACGAAATTAAAGTTTTGAATCAAAATTTAATGATTATAAAAATATTTAAAGATTAAACATTAAGATTATTTTCCTACTTTAATTTTTCTTGCTTAAGATACATCTCCGAGCTGCTATGGGTAGCATACGCAATTTGGTGCCTTGATTACAGTTGCGCTTTTAAATTATATACTAAACTTGTAAAGGTAAAATAAATTAATTATCTAATTTTCACTTGATTAACCCTTATTGTTCCGACGAATTACTATCTACTCACAGTCAACAGAATTTTACCTAAACCATATTAATAACGAGAAAGGGTAAAACTGAAGTCAAGGGGTTGTTAAAACTACACCTTTTAACGGGATTAAATTTTTTTCAAATACCTTTATTTGGAGTTCAGAAATTCGAATATTTAAAGCAGAAATAAAAAAAGCAAGCTTTATAGCTTAGTGGTAAAATATGAACTGGCCCGAGCCACACACAAGCAGCATTCACTGGATCTATATTTGAGAAGGTAACCCCATAAGATATTTTTTTATTTTCCTTTTTAGGAACTTTCATTACTATGTTTAAATTTTAAAACTTTATCTGACTTTGCGTTCTACTTTAATACTTTGTAACTGGTCCGTAATTGTAAATATTATACATTGTTAGTCCAAAGGGGCTTTGTCCCTGAAGGACTATTGTTTTCGTTTTGCCATTTTGCGTTGAATCACTATAAATGTCTGTTTCACTTTTTAAACTGTTGCCACCAAATATTATCACCCTGTATTATATCTGAAGAAATTAAATAATGAAAATTCTGCATAAATGTATGTATATTTCTCGCATTGTGATAAAACAACGGTACACAGAGCCATCGAATTTTGAATGACGTAATCCTCCTACGAATATGGGCATGTGGAAGACCCAATTTGAACTTTGGAATTTGTTTTATGATCGATTTCATATTTTGTAAAACTTTAACGAATTTTTGATTAACAAACTTAAGGATTTCAAAGCGAGCAATGGCAACACTCTACGGGGAAAAAAAACCTTTTTATCCTCAGCGCGCGGAACTGTGTATCGGAAATTCTAAAGATAGGCTCATTTTAAAATTATTTGCGACATTGCTCTCGAACTAAATTTTTATAGTTTAAGTGCAAACATGATATTTAATAAATGAAGGTAACACACAAAACGTTAAAAAAGCGTTCCTTTGGATGTAATTTAAAATCTGAAATCTTTCAGATTTTTTTTATTTTTTTTATTTTCCGATTAATTTTGTACTATTTGAATTTTAGTTTAATATCTGTCTCCCGTGGAACTTCCCAATATCTTGGATTATTTCTCCAAATTCGTTTGGTCGTGTACTTACAAGAACCAGTGCGCTCCCCTTATTCCCACCTGTCTTCATCTCTCTAGTTAAAAAGGAAGATTATTCTGATGATTAACTTCCATCATGGTTCATGATTCTATCCTCACTTGGAGATATTCGAGGCTATACATACATTCAAGCTTTCTCTTAAAAGATAGGCTCCCGATAAGGGGAATTCAAATACATACGATCTAAAAGATAACAAAAGTCACTCACCTGTATATAAGTTGGCCAACCGTCTCGGCAAATACGTTGTATAGGGTGGCTGTCAGAGTTCTCTGTCTCTAAATTGCTATCGAACTCGATTGCTCGATATTCAAATACGGAATTAGTTAACAAATTAGTCTATTGCTAAAATCCAAATTAATTTGCTTCGGCAAAATGCGAACTAATTTGCATTCTGGGGAAGGCTGAGAGAAGAAAGAAAAGTTCAGTAAATAGTTAACATAAAAATAATGTGATAAAATAAACCTAATACTACATAAAAATTACCGAACTAATTAAAGTAAGTTAAAATATGTGGGATACAAAGTAATAGAAATGAAAACTGTATCATGCATAAGCTTCTCAACCTATTACGTATAAAGCTAAAATTATGGAAAATCAAAATTATATAACTAACTATGATACTAAGTCAAATATTAGAAAAATGTGATGTCCCGAATAGACTCCTCCTACATTACGGATTTATTTTTAAAAGTTTCATAAATAAATGTAAAGTATTGATTACGGTTTTAGGAATAAACATTATAAATGAGAGCAACAAAAAGTTTGCTAGTTTCTTCTATTCGCTCGCAAACAAAGTTCGCACCTCATTGAAACTATGTATGACACATTTTTCTTCTCAGTTCAAATTCCTTTTATACACTCTGAAGTTATTCAGTAGTTTTGTCTTCAACTCTTCGATGATTTTTGCTTTTGTATCTTAAGTGTTCTCCAAACTGAAAAGTCGTACTGTAACTTTGGATGCCATCTCATCATTTCTCCGTTTTCCAGTCTATATGCGAACAAACACAACAAAATAAAAAAAAAACACAAAATTAATATACTAAAATGTCGAAAACGAAAGGCATCAGTATTAACGTTCATAATAATATTTTACATTATATAAACATTGTAACATTATATAACACATTATTGTGTTTTTTCGATAAGGTAACTTCTGAGCCATTCTATACATTCAAAAATTTTTTTTAATCTGTTACTGTTTCACTTGATATCTGTCGTTGTTTCACGGTAACCTCACTGGTCTGATATAATCAGAACAAGCCCACGAATTTTATCGTAGCAAGGAATGCAAGACTACGTCTGTCATTAGCATGAATCTTGAGTACCATGCAGGTGACAGCCCGATATTGCCCAGCTCCGCCTCAGTTTTGAAGGAGACAGTTCCGAGGATATCTCACCATGAAACCCCTCGACAGGACTTTTGACTAGCTGTATATTTTGAGTATATGATACACTACATTGATCTCATATATTTGATACATATAGTACCGAAGCCACATTGACATTATCTATTTATAAGCGTCCATGCCTTCTGTGAAATTCGAACAATGCGCTTCGGTATGGCACTCAACATCACTAATCACTCTACTGTCTGGGCTGCCCCTTTAATTTTCTATTCAGAATCGAAATAACAGTCATCCAAGTAGCTTGGAAAACTACTAAGGCCAAGAGCTGTTGTCATTCTATGTGCTACAAGATCTTAACTGTATCATTCAAGCTTCATCAGCTCAGTAGAGTAAGTAAATGTTTTATCCTGTCATATTTTTAAATGAATGAACGTGTACCTGCAAGAATTCAAATTTTCTGATTATCTTTGAAATTAAATATGTATCTATTGCATTTAAAATACCAAGTATTACAAAGCAGAGCCGCTTTTGGAAAACAATAACATTGTTTCAGTAGCGCTTATAACGCAATAAAGAAGATTACATTAATTTCCTGTACGTTTGATTTGTTCAAAATCAGTTTGCATTTTTGGTTCTTTGTGTATTTTTTTCAACATTTTAGGATTACTTGTACATGATAAAACTTGACATAGCATTTCGTTATTCCCGATCTATAGCATGCTTTCTGTGAGACATCATATGGTCGTCTGGGTGGGATTTCAATTTCTTTTGCTGACCATTTAGGAAAGCAACTACACAAATCAACTCTTGCAAATTAATGCGACTGTTAGAAGACAATGCTCTCGTGGGGCAAAAAATGGCGATGTGCAGTTTTTTAGAAGCAAGAAACTTGTTTGAAATGGTTAAAATGGTTGAAAGCGAGGTCATAGACATCTTGCGAAAGTGGGCTTAAAAGATTGATGTTTTTCCACATGGCAAATCATAAAGCAATTAACAAAAGCTCTCTGCATTTCTTTTAACTATGAAAATTCTATGATACAAGAAGAACAGATAGAAAAGTTCCAAACACGATGTTGGATGCTGAAGAAAAATTTTCATTGAAGTAAAAATTATTATTTTTATTAATGAAATATATATTTCGTTCGTTAATTTTAAAAAACAGATAAAGATACTCAAAATTCTAAAATCGTATGGCACTAAAATTTCACTAGTAATTTCCAAAATAATTTTTTATAAATAATTTTCAAATAAAAGTTTTCTTTTAAATTTCATTTTTAATAAAATTTTATTTGTATTGCATATGTATCCCATCTCGTGTATCATTACATGTATAAATTACCAAAGGATATTTAATGATAAATATAAAAGTATCAAATTAGTCATAGTTAGTCTAAATGCTACAGTTCGGCTTTAGCCCAACTAGGGAAGCAGTTAAGTGACAGACTGAAATAATATCAAGCTTAAATCTTAAAATGTAATGTAGAATTAAACTTTGAACGAAACTATGGAAACTGTAATAAAAGAGAAAACCAATAGTAGAAACATAAACCTTAGAAAAAACAAGAAATGCAACGCTAAGAAAATTAAAAAATAAAATACAAAAGTACAGCGTGAAAAGTTTGGGAAAATATCAGGATTGCGTAATTAATTATGAGCCATTTATTTCATCATAGTAACAGAAATTAGAATGACCTTTGATATGATTTCCTAGCAAAATTGCATCAGACGTAAAATTAGACATTTGCTGTCTGATTTCTACTGAAGTTTCTATAATCGTTTTTATAAATGTATCAACCATTCTTCTGATTCCGTAATTATTTTGCATTTTATCTTTCAATGTATCCCTCTCTTTAATATATAAAGAGAGAGATATATAGATATATAAGATAAAAATTATGTAAATCAGCTTTACAATGTAATTTAGTCTCTTAATTCCTCTTTTTTAAGTTGCTTACTTCCTCTTTATTCTAGAAAAATTAATAAAATTTCTGGAGTGCGTCATTTATAGATCAATCTCTTTCACATGGATTGCGTAACGTTTATGACGTAGCTGATTTGGAACCTAAACTTAAAATTTTGAGAAGTGAAAACCTTACCAATCGAAACCAAAACCTTCTCTTAGTGAGCTTCCATATTGGATAACTGCACACTTCGCTTCTACTTCTGTTGCCACTTGGACATTGTTTCACTGTACTCTCTTCCTATCACAATAGTATCAATAACGTAAATGTTCTTGAATAGACACGATTAGAATGCGAAGTAAATTGTGGCCATTAGTGTCAATTGAAATAAAAACGAATATTTAATCTTAATTTGCCAATTTTCTTAGTCATTACGAATTGAATATTTTAGCATTATACGCAATCAGAATTCTTCCTCTTCAGTATGGATTTACGTCCTGTGCTATTAGTGCTTCTAGACCATCGTCATTTTCTCTTTTTCGGTCAGGTATATTGAAGAAATTTACTAAATTATGAACTCGCGAATAAATTAAATGCTTTTTTAACTTAAATTGCTGTAATTCTTACCTCTTCAAACTTCTTTATCTGTCAGTTTCATACTGTACAGAAGTTTCAGGTTTAGTTTAAAGAAGAGACTGAAAGATCAGGAAACACAGTTATGTACTTTCATTTGGTCAATATAAAATGTTTGAGCTATCAAAATGTTGTATTTTAAAACTGTTCTTCTCTCTCTTAGCTATCCATGGATACTGCATTGAGAACGGTAGTTCTAATCCTCATTTTCTCGGTGCTAAATGCCAGATGCCAAAACCGCTTTGGAAACTATCATGAAGGTAAAACCTTTTCAATCATTCTTAGAAACTCGATATTGCTTTATTTCCATTGCGGATTGCAGGTATTTTTTCCAGACGTATGCATAAAGTTAACAGAACTCTATCTGAGTAATGATGTTCAGATTCGAATATTTGGCATTTATGAAATTGGTTACCACTAATACTTTAACAGCTGTTTTTCTTAACGAGAATTTTATACTACACTTTAAATTTTCAGTTTAATTTATATCAAATGCCTTAAGAGAGTTAATTTGTATCAAATGCTTTAGGAGAGCTTTATTTACACTCATGTCCATAAATTAAGGATAATGCAAAATCAGGCAAAGGAAGAGTTAGAAGCAAAACAAATTTCCCTAATTTGTAAAGCTTATTGTAAGGCTTGAAGAGTTAGAATCAAAACAAATTTGACTTATTTGTAAAGCTTATTTATTTAACAAAAGGTAAAGAGCAAAAAAAGATGCTATATGTTTGATATTATTAAAAAAAATTGGCGATTATTTTCCCTGGAGCAAATTACAAAAAAAAAAAAAAAAAAAAAAAACCTGTTTACAAAAAACCAATATTACATGGTTGGTATGATTGTTAATACATTGTATGTCTCCCAGACGATGCAATACAGTCCTTACAACGCCTAGGCATGCTGAGTATCAAATTATCGATCTGATCTTGGGGGATATTACACCACTCAAAAGGCAATGCTCTCCGAAGTTCCGGTAGACATGTAGGAGGAAGTTGACGGGCTGCAACTCGTCGGCCAAGCATGTCCCACACGTGCTTTACTGGATTCAAGTCCGGTGAGAATGCTGGCCAGTCCATACGGGTGATATCCTCCGATTAAAGGCATTCGCTTACGATGTTTGCACGGTGAGGACGGGCGTTGTCATCCATAAACACAAATTGTGCGCCCATTGCGCCCCGAAACAAACGTACATGTTGTTCCAGAATGACGACCCGATAGATTTGGCTTGTCATGGTTCCAATTTGAACATGCAGGTCAGATTTGGAACCCAGAATAATTCCACCCCAAACGAGCACTCCTGCACCACCGTAACGGTGTCGTTCAATGATGTTTTCTTGGTGGTAACGGGTACCTGGAGCTCTCCATATGAAAGTCCGGCGAGAATCAGACTGCAAGCTAAACCTGGAGTCGTCGGAAAACATCACACAAGCCCACTGTTGCGGTGTCCCCAATGCATGCTCTCTACTCCAGGCTAACCGCAGGCGATAGTGAGTTGCAGTAAGTGGAACGCATCTGACAGGTCTACGAGCATATAGACCAATCTGCCCTAAGCGTATGTACACGGTCTGCCTTGAAATTGTCGTACAAGTGGCTGAAGAGAGCTGACGAGACAGGTCTGAGGCTGTGCTCCGCCTGTTTCTTTTGGCAGTAACTGCCAAATACCGGTCCTCATTCGACGTAACTCTGGGGCGACCTGTGCTGTAACGTCTACTCACATTACCATCATCTTTGACTCGTTGCCAAAGCCTGGAAATGACACTCTGGGCAATTCCAAGTTCGTCTGATACTTCCAGTTAGGTACGCCCACATTCCAGACGGCCGATAATTCTACCGCGTAAAAAATCATCCAAATGCTTCCTTTGTGTCATAACTATTCGGTTATTGCACTGAAATGCTTTATAAAGCGCCTGCGAGCAATTTTACTTCTTTGCCTGTACTCCTTATCTATCACTCTCTTACACTCTCGTCATTGTGACGTACCATCGGTGTCATCTGGTTACTTCCTGAAATTTGCATATGATTCTTGAAGATGTGTGTAGTGATTTTACAGGTGATATATTTATTTTAGAGTTCGATTTCCGCGTGACTCCGAATTATCCTTAATTTATGGACATGAGTGTAATTATGTTTAGATATTTTAATTTCGATTTTATTGCGTTCTCTAAATTCCAAATGGAAATTGCAGATGATTTATACTGATTTCCACACTACAAAAGAACAATCAGAAAAATCGTGGTTTTAAAAAAAAAATTATTAGACGGATACTGGTGAAATTTGGGGAAAAAATTGGTTTATTTGATTATATCAAAGCAAATGAGGGTTATCTGCCTAAAAAGAAGGATGTCTTCAAGGACTTTCTATGTAAAATTGGCTCATATTCACAATACACATGGGTAAACCGCAAAAACGTCCATGCAGCCAGGTCTTTCACCTGGATACGAACCACTATTCAGCGACTTTAGTACTCGGTCACTGTGGAACTAAATTTGGGAAGAATATGAATGAAAATATGAGTTTTAAAATGGTTTAAAAAGCATTTTATAGAGAAAACACTATAACTAATTTTAACTCATATGAGAGCTTTTGCTCAAATAAAGTGTAACAACGCAGTGGATAAAACACGCCAATGTGGTGATGTGTTTGAGAAATACGAGGCTAGTAGCAATATTCTATGGTGTCCATGATGATTTCAACCTGCTCAGTAGGATGCATATATCATTATTCAGTAAAAGCTGATATGCAACAGTACTTTGAGGCATTAGCATGATTCCGTAAGCTTGTTATGACACATCCATTTGTTTCGGACGAACAACTGATTCGAAGAATTTGTCTATTTGCTGTAATATTTTATTGTTTAACAAATAACTATATCTATTATTGGAGTGGCAACGCCATATCTGCATCATGTAACCGTTGCTCACCAACGTAAAAAATTGTTTAGAATTCTTAATTCTGAAAGTTTTACCAGCTAGTAGATGTATGAAATTTGTAACTAAAACATTGTATTCAAATTATCTATCTGCGTAAACTAAAAATAAAATTTATGTTTTACTAAAAAGATCATCTGTTATTTTGTTAAATGCTGCCAAATACGTTACACTGCTTTATTGCTGAAAGAAAAGCTCAAAACTGTTTCCTTCTTTTCGCAAAAAAATTGTTTGTTTTCAGCAACCAATCAGCTATCAGCATCGAATTAACCATTATTAACCATAACTTGTAATGGAGAACTAGTTTCCCTTTGACATGGCAACCCTAAAGTGATCCGGGCTGATTGGCCTATTTTATGTCATGTGACAAAGCAGAAAAATTGTCCTAAACAGTTGTTTTTTGGAAATGTTCTGAATGTGTGATACAACCTTAAAACGCCTCATTCATGCATAGTCCAGCTTAAGAAGAGAAACTGAATTAATTAATCCATATATGCGTGTCTATTACTGGCCAACTAGATAAAAATACAGAGCATGTATAGGTCGCTCTGAATTCTGCTTCCGTAGAATACAGCTTGGGTTTTTTATAGTTTTTTCGAAATGTCATGAATATTAGAGCAGAGTTATATCATAGATAGTCTTTCCCGAGGACCTGTCCTCAGGCAGATAGCCTTTGCATGGCTTGCTTAATTAGTCAACTAATAACACAATCAATGCATGCTCAAAATGACCTTTTTTTAATCTATTTTCTTAAGCTTTGTAGAGACATTAGGTATTTTTTGGAAGCAGGCAAAATGAAAAATGAGCAATTTCCTTCGCCGGAAATCGAACCACGGACCTCTGTAATGCCGGCCCAGCGTGCAGAATCACGAAGGCACGCCAAGAAGGCGGAAGAAATACCTTATAAACTTAACGAAAATAATATTTGCGTTATTGGTGCTTATATGCTTTTGTATATTTTTTGGTAGCCAGTTCCATTCTTTAAAGAAATTTAATGTTTAACTGGAGTAAACTTTTTGTAAGTAAAGTATTTTGAATTTAAATTCAGGGCATTGTTTTTTTAATATGTCTTTTTTAAATAAATCTGAAATAAATCACTACGTGTGTTTATTACGCTATTACTTTAACATCATTTCATAAAACTCCATTATAAAATCAAGCGAACTGTGTGAATTAAATTTTCATTAATTACTCAATTAAACATTTTTAATATAAATCATTCTATCGCTGAGAAATGTATTTTCTCAAATCAAGCTATAACACTGAAACTGCTTTTGTGGTTTTGCTATTGTTTGATTCAAATATAATTTTTACATCTGTATTCCATACTTTATATGGCAAGGCTGAAAATGAGTTTATGTGACGAGCGTTTCATATTCTGGCAACAGGGGAATTACCAGACCATATCTGTAATAACAGCTGAGCAGCCCTGTCTTTACCTTTGGTTATAAGTATGAATCACGTGATTTGGCTTTGATTGGTAGCCCAGACGTCGCACTGTGTCGCTTTTGGGTTTTTGGTCTCCCATGGCGTAGTGTTGCCAACGGTGATGATGTTGTAGAGAGCTATTTCGTAGCTGAAGGGTGACCTAGATAGGCACTACTTCCAGTCAAACACAAAGAAGTGGCACGCAGAACAACTACGTACAGTGATGAGTGGTTAGTTTACAGGACTCTAGACCAACATGGATACACCAACTGATGATAAATCACTAGGCGAATGGTGTTGATCCTGCTAGTGGTGCCAACACTCAAACGATAGAATATCTATGAGGTCAACTTAAAATAACACTTGTACGGAATGTGAGACGAACAAAACCAGCGATGCTGCCCCGTCATCTTGCTGAATTACGGTGGTGATCTGCCAAACATGGGGATTAATTTGTGGCCTTGGTCAGAGACATCAGTGGCAGTGTTTGTGTGAGTGAAAAATGGGGATGGCTATTAGTGTCGTTTTATATTTGATAATAGCAGTAAAATGATGACTTTTGGCAAATGTTAAATACGACAGACAGATGCCAAATACGATGATTTGAACTTCTTTTTTTAATGTGTTTAAAATACAGTGACAACCATCAAGGGATGTATGTTCTTCTCAGGACCACATTAGTGCATTTTTCTGGTAATGTTGCATAATTTGATATAATATAATAATCTGATAATATAATAAAGTAGGTATGTATAATTTCTTTGTATTTATTTATTTATGTTCTGCTGCTTTTCATGGGTTTTAATACAGTAATGTTGACAGTTTCGTTGGTCATGCTCATAGTTCATGGTGGTAGGTCACCTGTTACGAGAATATCGAGAGCTTTAATTTTAAAAAATTACGATTCCCCAGGTAAGGAAACAAAATATTCCCATTAGATTAAAATTATTAGAATGTAAAATTATTAGAATTTTTATTAAAATGCTTAAAAGGTTTTAAAATACTTATCTTGTAGTTTGGAATTATTGTATTCCTTTTCAGTCATGATACAATTGAGAAAATGCGTGTTATCTACAGATTTAATGTGGTCTGAGGCCATAAAAAGGATGAGATGTTACTCATAGAAACGAATTAAATGTATCTGTGTATAGTAGCTGGTTTTCTCTAATCATTTTATCTTTTAGACTTGAATAATTAATTTACGAAACAACTGTAAGATTAGAGATTATTACGAAACAACTGTAAGATTAGAGATTTTATTAAAATGCTTAAAAGGTTTTAAAATACTTATCTTGTAGTTTGGAATTATTGTATTCCTTTTCAGTCATGATACAATTGAGAAAATGCGTGTTATCTACAGATTTAATGTGGTCTGAGGCCATAAAAAGGATGAGATGTTACTCATAGAAACGAATTAAATGTATCTGTGTATAGTAGCTGGTTTTCTCTAATCATTTTATCTTTTAGACTTGAATAATTAATTTACGAAACAACTGTAAGATTCCAATCTAGCATTGGCAAAGGAGCTTGATTAATTGCACTTCTGCGCAATTTTTTAATAACCCCAAAACTTTCAATTCAAAATGTTTAAAAAAAGTCTCTATTTGTTAAAGGATAAGCATTTTTTATTTAACATTTAAAAATGTGCGCAACAATAGCATTTGCGAATTAAAAAAAATATATTTTTCTGCAAATGCAGAGAGATGTAATGGCAACATGAATTTTTAGATTCTTTCTCAACGTTATTAGAATCGTGGTTTTGAAGTACAGTAACGTATGGTTTAAAACGTGTCTCAGTTTTAATATTTCGACTGTATTTTTCTGTATTCGTTGTTTAAAAAGTAAAAAGTAACGCTAGTATTGTTAAAAAATAAATATACTATTATAATGGCCGATTTTGGTTCATTGATAAACAATGTAAAATAAATGTCTTTCAGGCATTAAAGAATGATATTTGAATCTTTCCAACAATCATCATCATTCCAAAAATGGAGAAATTGACATTTTCAGAGACATTAATCAGAGAAAACGAAAAAGAATATAACTAAAATCTGAAAACTTTGGATTACAGTTTTACACCTCTAAGTGTTTACTATTAAAGTACACCAATTTTAAAAGAGAATAATTAAAAATATAAAAGTCATATAAAAAATGCTATTTCATTGTGGTGTACAGATTTCGATTTAACACTTGAACAATTATTATGTAAATGATTATGATAGCCCTTCTACTTCAAGAATAAGTACCTCAGGCATTAAAAGCTGCAAAAAGCAATAGTAGAACACATATCTAATAAAGAAAAGACTTAATTATTCAAAACGTAGCTGTGCATTTATTTCATTGGATCGCTTTTTATTTTGTCAGGATGCAACTTTTACTCAATGAAACCAACGAAGTTTTCTTCGAGAAAACTTCCGACTTCGTGAGGTTTAAAAAATACTTATCAAGCATATATTTAATGTTTGAAAACATAAAAATAATTATTATGTGATTATTTAATGCTTTCATTTGTTGTGTATGTAGATTTCACATCAATGTCAATAAACTATATGAATAATAAAACTGTCTTCTTAGCTATGTTCAGTACAGGAGCATTTTTTAGATCAAATATTTTTATAAAAAATAATTTTTTTCTCTAAAATTTTAGTTTAATTAAATTTTTTAAAAAATCATTTCAGGTATCTATGATTTAATTTCCACTACAGAATTCCGATCAGTGAATTTACAGTGGCGCTACGACACTAGGCCAGAACCAATCGGATTTTTCATCACGCTATGTGAAATTACTATCTGGTCAAGATCAGATGGAGATTGCTTCGAGCGCCATCTGTTGCTGGGAAAGAGAAATACTTTGAATGGCCATGATTCACTCACGACGGATGGCAATGGACATTATGAAGCTACGTTGTATGGGTTGCGTATGTTGACGAATTACACGGTTTCCGTGCAACCCATGGAAGACCAAAATAGAGTTGCATCATCTGATACAAGCGGAAGACGAGAGAAGCTTCATGCGTCTGAAAGATTAACGATAAGAACTAAAGGATGTAAGTAAACTAAATATCAAAATGTATATAACCATGCCCCTAAAATTCTCATGCTTTTAATTTCATGACTGTTCGTCGTGGATATATAATTCCAGTTACAAGAATATTTTAAATGAGGCAATTATTCAAGTTTTGACATTTTTAATTTTAAAAAAAAAATTTTTTTAATTACGAAAGGTGACTTTTTTAAATTACAAAATGTTTCTTAACCTTTGTAGTTGTACAATGCAACCTTGGATCACGAACGTCTTGTATCACGAGTATATTTTCCGAATAAAAATTGTCTTGGATGATGAACGATATCTCGAGATACGAACAGCGGCAACATACTTCAAAATGCAGTTATTGCAGTGAAGAAAATATCTTTAGAAGAAGAAGAGAGGATGTTTCTACTTATTTGATCCGGGAAATTTTCTCAAAATGGGATAAGGTGCAAACGTTCAAATAATAATATCACCTTGATAAAGCAGAAGTGTAAATATATGCAATGAAAAGGGCAAGTCTTGCTTCGGGAACTAAAACGTAGACAGAAATAAATTACACAGAGTAAATTTTTAATGAGAAAAAGGCTCAATGATTCTTAAGTAGAGCTTAGTGGTATTAATAGAAACAGAAAAGAAAAAGTAAAAATCTAGAAAGACAGCAGATATCTCATATTAAGAAATAACATTTTGTACCTCTGGTTTACAGTGGCACATCCAGAAATAAGTTTTGAGGCTGAGGAGTAAATATCGCCATTGTCATGACAGAAGTAATTTCTTTAGTTTAGAAATTACCATTTGGTAAAAATTAAAGAATTGTGAATTTTCCTTAAAAATGTAAAATTAGAGCATCTAAAAGTTCTTTATTCTAACTGAAAATAATCTTTTAGAAGTGCATGTTGTAACAGAGATGCCTAATTTTTTTAAGTTTTGAATATTTGGAAAAATATCTGCATTGCACTCTTGTAACGGTTCTATATCAGTTAATCTAATGTATTGTTCCAGTACTTTCGTTTTCCATTGTTGATATTCTGCAGTCAAAATCCTAATATTGCAATACGACAAATTTGAAGAACATGCTTCTTTCAGTATTTCTAATTTATTTTCATTTGCAGGTATGAGGTCATTCACTGATATGATTAAAATATTTTATTAACTCAAAACGTCTTTTTGTTTTGTGAATTTTCCTTAAAAATGTAAAATTAGAGCATCTAAAAGTTCTTTATTCTATCCTTACGTACAGATGTCATTCAAAAACGTTAAATTGCATTCGAATAGCCGTCAAAATGGATAACATGTAGCGGTCAAAATGGATATGTTCTTTGAAATAAAAACGTTAAATTGCATTCGAATAGCGGTCAAAATGGATATGTTCTTTGAAATATGATACCTGAAATGTTTCGCGATTACAATACTTCCTTTACTTTGTACAAGGAAGTAAAAACTTTAAAGTTCAAAACATTCCTGAAGACTATAATATTTATTTATGTATGAAAAAATGAAACAGGTAGTAAATTTTACATTGAAACATATCTCATCCAAGACAGTCGTCAAGGGTATCCAAAATAATTTGTTTTTAATTAGGATTCCATAGTATCCATTCCACTTTTAATTTATGCAAACAATGTTATGAGTTTGCTGTGCCAATACTGAAGCCGGTTTCTATTTCTAGAACACAAATCCTGTGGGTACGGTTTCCCTTTTCGGAAAATACTTAGTAATCAAACAGTTTGAGGATAATTTGCATAGCAATGTTCGTCACTTAATCTATAGATATTCGGAACTTTATTACTTTCTTGTACGACGTAAAGGAAGTATTGGAATCAGAAAAATTCCGGGTATCATATTTCAACGGAAATATCCATTTTTGCCGCTTTCGAATGCAAATTAACGATGTTTTTGCGTGACATCTGTACGTAAGGACAGAATAAAAGACTCTCTTTCCCCAAACTTTCTTTCAAACGAATTATAAACCTGATTTGAAATGGATTCAGAAGAGATTTTTTCGCGATGTCTACCTACTCTGTTACTAGGTTCCGTGAGCTCAGTTTTTTAATTCTTATATGTTGGTAAATTGTGCACTTTTTACTTTAAAAATTATTGAATTATGTTATTCTTATCTTAAGGTTAAGGTTTTTATGCCTTTAGTTAACATGCATTTAATAGTTGTAAAATTATCAACAATTAAAAGTTGTTTAAGTGCGGCTAAGCCTAATTTTTTTACCTTAGCAGCCGTATTTTGTTTACATTTGAAACTTAGCAGAATAGTGAATTAAGTATTTCTGCACCTTCAGTGTCTTTTTGCCGAGTGGAACCAAAAGGAAACTTTCAGTTTTGTGCACCAAAAAATCTGCCTTCTGGCCCTCTGGCCAAATTGCTTGTTTTTGCGTAGAAACTGTAATTTTAATTGTAAAAGTTATTTTTTTAAATTGTTTTAACTGTATTTGGTGTTTTATGTTTTTCTATATGTTTCAGGTTTTAATGAAGATATTTTGAGTTTTATGTATTTCTGCCTTGCCGCGAAGTGAGAATTACTTCTTAATTAATTCATTCATTGAGAAATATATCTCTAATTAAATTCGAGGAAATACGTTTAAATGAAATGCAGGAAAAAATGCATATAATTTAATATTTCGTACAAGGAAGTCGTGTGGTATACACATTTTTTAAATATTTAATTTTTAATTACGTGCAAATATAAATATTTCATTCTTCGATTTGTGTAGATATCTGAACACTACCAAGACTACGCAATGGTCCATGATGCTGTTAAGATGATTCTGAAGAATGCAAAACAATTTTTAAATGCCCGTCTGAAAATCGTACTCATCTGATATGCAGAGCCTAATTTTCAAAACATATACTAAGATAATTCATCATTATCCTCCTACACTAAACGTAAATTTATTTGCATATTAATGAACTGGTTTTATTTAATTTAATTTTATTTATTTTGATAGCATAATTCCCCAATCAATTTTGTCACATTATTCATCTACTTAAAAGAGACAATGTTAGTGTTTAAGCTCCATATTCTACTTTTTTAAGTAATTAGTGTAGGGTGATTACAACGTAAACGAACACTTTAAAGAAAATCACATTCAATAGCTTCAATTTAATGCATTTACAATTTTTGACAGCATAAATCAAAAATGTTCAATCATTTTTACTACACTGTATTAAATTTTAAATTTCTACGGTGTAAAAGGATTAACAAATTTAATACTATTGCATTAAAGGTATAACAGATTCCACTCATTCGATAAGACTTCGTACAAAACTGGGACTCATAACAATAATAACAGCTATTAAAATTCATTAATGTTAAAATTAACACAGAAACACAATCAATCGGGCCGTATAAATGGAGCTGACAAATAACTAATGCAATTCTAGCATACATAGACCAAAATAAGTTTTACTGAGAAAAAACTGTAGCATAAATGAAATAAGCTTAATAAACTTTATAGTCTTGCAGTTTATTTATTCTCACGGCATTAGGTTGTTAACACCTGTTGTGGTAATTTAATTATATCAATGCCAAATAACTTAACTGTATCAATAAGATGTTACGTCTGTTCCGTGAGGTGAATTATTACCACCAGAATATCTAATCATCATGCAGACATACCCAGAATTAAAACTCTTTTTATACCTCACCATATGTGAGTGCTTAAATTAAAAATAGATAAACACGAATTTTCCAGCCAACCTAGACCTGGTTTCAAATGCAAAGCTTCCTTTCACAAAGGACATAAATGTAACAAATCTTATTTGATTAGAGACTACAAGATTGCCTAGACCACGGGAGAATTTCACGCATGCACTTAACAAAAGAGAATCTAATTTCAGTCTAAAACAGGGTTTCTTAAACTTTTCTCAGTCACGACCCCTTTTTATCACTGAGAGTTTTTTGCGACCCCCAGGACCCCATAATATTTACAAAAATTTTGTCGGACCGCAGAAGTATTGCACAAATCCGACAAACGCGTGAAAGAAACTGTCAATTTTTTCACTTTACTGTAATATAATATTTCAGTTTTAGGTCATTAATTTCTAATTTTAAGACATAGAACAATGTCAAAATTTTAAATAAGTAACAAACGAAATGACAGCATCACGTGCAAAGCAAGGACGCTTATATTAAGAAATGCGTCGAAACGTTTTCTTTTCTTTTTTTTTTTTTTTTTTTTTTTTCCTTTGTCTGTATTATCTTATCTTTATCTATTTTCAGATACATTGTGTAAAAATATTTGGTAATTGTAAAATTATTATAATAAGTTAAATAAATATCAAAACTGCTAAAATTTTTGGCGACCCGCTGCTGCAAGTCCCTTGGAGTCGCGACCCACAGTTTAAGAAACCCTGCTCTAAAGCATTCTCGGCAAAACCAGCATTATCGTCGCCAATATAACTGCTGTTTTTACTTCCTTGTACGAAGTAAAAAGGAAGTATTGTAATCGCGAAAAGCTTCAGGCAGCATATTTCAACGAAATTATCCACTTTGACCGCTTTCGAATGCAATTTAACGATGTTTTTGCGTGATATCTATACGTAAGGACAGAATAAAAGACTCTTTTTCTCATCCAAAAAAACTAAAAAACTGCTTTAAAATGAATTCTGAAGAGGATTTTTCGTGGCGTCTGCACGAACGTATGTACGTACGTGCGTGCGTACGTACGTATCTCGCATAACTCAAAAACGAGTAGCCTCAGAACGTTGAAATTTTGTATATAAGACTTCTATAACATGTAGATGTGCACCTCGTATTTTGGTTTCAATCGGCAGCGCCAAACGTATATAAATATATTTATAAATATATCCACTCTGTTACTCGGCTCAGTGATCTCAGTTTCTTTACTCTTATATGTTTGTAAATTGTACATTTTTTGCTTTAAAAATGATTGAATTATGTTGTTTTTATCTTCCGGTTAAAGGTTTTATGCCTTTCGTAATTCTGGAAGCAATATTTGCACAATTATCAACAATTTAAAAGCTGTTTAAGTGCGGTTAAGTTTTAAATAACATGGCGGACATATTTGTTTACATTTGAAACAGCAGAATTGTAGATTTGTTGCCAATCTAGAGAGACTAAGCTCGCAACACAAAAATAACGCCTTCATTTATTATTGCGAATTAAATCATGCTTAATCCTTTCTGGAATTTTTTCGAGGAAATAAGTATTTAAGATTTACTTTGTAATTCTTAATACAGATATTTTGAGTTTTTATGTATTTTTGCCTTGTCGCGAAGTGAAAGCTGAATTAATTGAATGAGAAATACTCAATCGTCTGTGAAAAACTGTTTCTTTTTCGTTTTGTTTGCTTAATTTCTTTTATACATCGTTCTAGCTTTGTTATAGTATTTGAATAGAACATGTGGCAACGATTAGTTAATTCCTTAAATGATATAAATTTTGTGCATTCTGAGTTATAATATGTCAAGATGCATTGGCTGTGGACAGTTCACGGGAGGGTGACCCCCCCCACGTGACTACCGTTGTCCAATCTGTGTTTTTCAGCAAGGATGAATTTGAATAGTTTGTTTAGCTAATCTGTTGCACTTAGTTGTGTCATTTGTCTTCATTTAGATTGCGATATTAGTTTAATTATTCCAATCTGGATAACCTGTTTCAAAACTTGATAATTATTAATATATCTAATATTTCTCATTGTACGCGTAAGCTGCTTTGCTCGGAGTCTGAACTTGGGTGAGTGACCACCCACGTGACAGGCTCCTTCCAATCATCTCCCTCCACTCCACCTACATTTCACAAAATTTGACAAGTTTCGCCTAGTTGGCGCGGCGTAAATCGCCTTAATTAAAAACTTAAGTACCAACGCCTTAGGGCAATTTACCAACAGAGACGGTTAAAGTAGCGGTTGGCTACTAATTGCCGCCTAGCCATTGACTCGATTTCGATTTCGATTTCGTTATAATATGAACGAAATGTAATACTGTTAAGTAAACCTAGTGCCAGAGTGTCGCTATGGTAAACAAAGTGAATTTTAAAGAATGCATTTATTCTATTGTGGTTTATGCGCTGTCGGCCAAGTAGGTTTAATTCAATCTAATAAGTTAAATAAAATGCAAGAAAAAATGTGTATAATTTAATATTCCGTACAAGGAAGTCATGTGGTGTACACATCAGATTTTTTTTTTTTCTGTCGGCAAGGCAGTTTCACAGCAGAAAAATTCTCACACTCCTATTCTTAAAATTCTAAACTTTTTAATAAAACTGCTTGCCACTCAGATCTGCATTAGTTCCAGAATGCGTGAGCTTCATAGCGAAAAGACGCTAAAAGGAAAGAAGTAGTTTAAAATAATACTTAGTTAGTTCAGAATGGTTCCAGAATAGGTATCGTAGTTGTGGTGCATAAAAGCAGTACGGTGGTGACACACAACTCAAGAAGGTTCCTTATGCAGTGTATGTTCCTTCCTGAGACATTTACAATCAAGGCAGCGTAAGTTTAAAAAATTTACTTACAATACGCCTGTAAATTGGTTTCATTGCGTTTACAATCAGTATGTAAGGAAAACAACAGTGAGATTTCTTTAACATAAATGCCACAATTAATTTTAAAAATTAACATATTTCGTGCTCGTATGCTCAACTCGGTTGTCTCAAACTGGAGACCTGTGGGTTACGTGCGGCCCCCAAAAACGTTTTATGCGATCCGGGATATATTTCCTATAAAATAATTAGATTTGTAATAATATTAGTTATAACAAGAACATGAAGAAAGGTTTACGATTTTAATTAATTGGAGTACATTAGTTTTCGCAATTAATTTACACTGGGATATAAATTTTATTTAAAGATTTGAAGATATACATGTGATTGACTTTTTTCGTAATTGTCAATAGATAAGTACCCTCAGTTACGAATTTTTGCAGTTTGAATAATAGCTTTGTTTGAGAATGCATTTATATGTCTAAGAGTTAGACAGGGGAAAAGTGAGCCGCCTTGCCACTGTATTACACGCGAGTTTCCAGTCAGCTGCTGTCCGCCTTTAAGGCCAGAGGTTTAGTCCTCTTGATATTTAAAACGTATTGTAGTTTCGGCAGTTTGCGTACTACATACGTAATAATTTAAAAGGCCAGTCTTAGCGTTAGTCAATTGTGTAAAGCACTCGAAGTTAACTCTTATTTTTAGTTAGTTAGTAGTTTTTATAATTTTACGTTTAGCCCATAAGTGGTTGGTCTTTGTATCCCTAAGTGCGGGAGCACCTGTAATATCGTGGACAATAAAGGGTAAAGTTAACCCTTCCTGCTTGTGTCGTCCATTCCACACATATTTGAACACAGCTTGAGTAAACTCCCTGTTCCTATTCAGGACACTTCATATTCCCGAAACAAATCAAAAGACATACAAGTCCTGATAAGTTATATTTGAGTAAATCAATGCATATTTAATTCTTTCTTCTTATTAATTTTACAATTTGGTTTTGCCGTGAAAATAACTTTGACCCTATTATTTCAGTTTCTGCTTATGCCACAAACTGTTTGGCAAATTCTTCAGACATCGTTGTACACAGTGGTCCCTATTTTGGCGGTAAAATCACTGTCGAAGGCTCGTCGGAGGAGCGTTGCAGTGTTTATGGGAACAGAAGCAGTCCTAATGACACTTACACATTAAAGATTAATCATCGAATTTGTGGAAGTAAGATGGTGGTAAGCAGCATTACATTACTTTTTCTTTTATGTTATAATACGAATAAAAGAAATCTTAAAATATAAATCTTAAGATATAAATCTGAATAAATGGTTATAAAATAATGAATAAATATAAATCTTAAAATATAAATCTGAATAAATGGTTTTCTATAAAAAAAGACAATGCTCGGCTTGAAATGATTTATCCAATCAGAGCTTAAATACACAAATCAAGAACGTATTAACAAAAGCAGCAGCAAGAGTGGGGTTAAACACTGATAATTCTTGCTATTTGCTGAAATATTTAAATCCCATTTCAAATTAAAATTTTCATTAATTAAAATAATAATAATAAAATTAGGTATTTTCAGATTTCGCTCTGAAAATCATCTGTTACATTCCGTTTTCTTTAGAGTCATGTTGCCTTCTTTAAGATAACAGGACAAAAGTGGCGCAAAATTCATGCTGTCATTAAATTTAAATTCAGTTTATTCACATGTGTATACTTTGAACTTGAGCAAAAATATGTGTGCACAGTTCTCATGAATTTATTTATAAACTAGAACAGATGCCTGTGACTTTTGAGGTGAAATAAGTTCATGTGCATTACCAAATTACTTTTTATCGAAACGATTTCCTAGCTCAGAGCAGTGTCTAATAAGATGGCGCATGCAATTATACAGGGTGTTTATTAAGTTCCGGACCCATTTTGATGTTTAATAACTCATAAAATAATAAAAATAGATTAAAATTAATAACATAAATGGTTAGACAGACTCAAAAAGTTTCTGAATGAACTTCCACGTGTGCCCCCTTCATCGCACGGAGAACATCAAGTCGATATTCAATTTCATGCCAGGTACCGGCAAGCATGTCGGCATCCACAGAGGCTATTGCGGTTTTAATTCTGGCTTTTAGGTCATCAATGTTCGACACTCTCTTCCTGTAAACTCTCTTCCTGTTCGACACTCTCTTCCTGTTCCTTGTCTTTTACAAATGCCCAAAGGAAAAGGTCCAGCGGCGTTATATCAGGTGATCTGAGTGGCCAAGGGATTGGACCTCCTCGCCCAATCCATCTTCCTATAAAATGGTCATTCAAAGAACTACGTACGGTGGTACCCCAATGAGGTGGTGCACCATCTTGTTGCAAAAAGACATGTGGCTGAAGCTCTTCTAGTTGTGGAAATACGAAGTTTTCCACCATGTCTAAGTATACGACTGATGAGATCGTCTTTTCTGTAAAAAAGAAAGGCCCAATGACTCGGTCGTGCATTAGTCTACACCACACATTAACCTTTGGGGAATCCCTTTGTGCTTCACGGCATTCATGGGGGTCTTCAGATTCCCATATGCGCACATTATGGCGATTAACAATACCAGAAACAAAAGAGAGAAAATGAAATTAATATGCAGACGATATTTAGAAAAGTACAGATATTTAGACTGGAAAATGAAATTATCTGAAATTAACCACACACGCAGACGATATTTACAAAAGTAAAGATATTCAAACCTGAAAAGGGAAATACATAAGTTATTCCAACAATAAATACCATAAGTTTGTTTATATCTTCATTAGTTTATGAGTTATTAAACACAAAAATGGGTCCGGGATTTTATAAACATACTGTATTTAACACACTATTTTCAAATTCAGCATTTAGTTTTCAGATTAATTGTGTCTTTTGAGATTAGTTGGAAGAAGTTTGTTAAAAATATAATAGTTAGATAAATCTTTAGTTTTAATACTAATTTCAGCACTGAAAAAAATGGCAGAAGAAAGGGGCACCTAAACTTATAGCAAATGCGAAATTCATTTTCATATTAAGCAATGTTTTGAATTTTGCTTATGATTAAAATTGCTTTGTCAGGATTTTTTGGCAATGTTTAAACATAGTCAAAAATTTTATTTTTAATTGCAAATTTATTCTTGTTAACTATTAAGAAAGAAATGTAAAAAGAGGAATTAGTGCTAAGAACTTCTACATTGCAAATGAAAAGTATAAAATCTTTACTTTAAAATTCTTAAATATATTTACAGATATTCTTTATTTTATGTGACATGTAAAAGCAGTATGCAACTAAGTAAAACAACAAATCAAGATTTAAAAATATAAACATTCAAGTATCAGTTAAGAGTCAATATTTAAAATTCAAGTATCAGTTAAGAATCGTTGTTTAAAATTCTTCAGTTCGATAATATATTGAATGAAAGTTTTCCCCCCAGTGGAAACTTTGTTTAATTTTTAAGACTCCCATGTAGTTTAATCCGAAATTTCATATCCTTGTTTGTAATATTCATATTAAATAAATTCATAGCATAAAAAATTGTAAAATTTTAAGTTTAAATTTTAAAGCTGGAAGAACTTCATTTTTCAGAATGGTTCCCGAATAGATACCGTAGTTGTGGTGCATGAAAGCAGTACTGTGGTGACACACAACTCAAGGAGGTTTCTCGTGCAGTGTACGTTCCTTCCTGAGACGTTTACAATCAAGGCAGCGTAAGTTTAAAACATTTACTTACAGTACGCCTGTAAATTGGTTTCACTGCGTTCATAATCACTTTGTAAGGAAGACAACAGTGAGACTTCAACAACTATGATTTCTGTTTCAGTTTTCTGATATATTCTTATCGTTTCTTATTTCTTAGAAACTATTTGACTTCCTGGAAAATTTCAAGAATTATTAAAGTTTTCGTAAATTAATTTTAACGTTATTAAATAAATCCGTATCGAAAAAGGCCTGTTAGATAATTAACTAATATTTTTAAATACAGCTTAGAACGAAAATAGTTCATTTTTTATTCAGTCTTTTTTTCTCCGAAGAGCATTTATGTATTGTGCAATATTTTTAAAAATATGATTATTTGAAGTCACTTAATAAATTTCTCTAGAGCAGAAATACGTTTAGCATTAATGCATCTAGTTTTTTATGATTAGTTAAATTTGGACTATTCTCGGTTATCAGTTAATATCAGTCATGTACACTTTTAACTGTCAAACATGCCTCCGCAAATTTACTTTTCGTTATTTCTTTAAAGGGTCTTTAGTATCATATTCCGAATTAAAATATCTAAATATGATTAGGAATATTTTGAAAACAACATTCGTTGAAGAACTGATTGAATCAACTCACACTACAAGAACAAGAATTACTTGAAAATTAAACCTACCTGGTGTCCAATAGAATACCTGTAGATGGACAGAAGCTAGCATGCTAATGATTGTACCCTAGCATTAAAAGGAGTAACGGTTTAATTCGTTGAAAATTCTAAAAGAGGAAATGGAAATGCACTTACAATTTTTTTGTACTGTAGATGGTCATGAAATTATTTTATGTGATACTTAATTTGCAACATTTTATGGATATGAAGTATGTCCACATACACAGTGGGATTAAAAAATAAAGGAGCAAAATAAGATCTTGTTTATTTCTATGAGAAATGATACGTAGCAACCATAGAGAAATGAAGTGAAAATCATTTTAAATTTCTCACATCATCTTTATAAATGCTTAGTGTGATCGCTATTGGCTACGCGACAAATATCTCTGAAACGGTGAAGTCAATTTTTTAATATATATTCAAGCGTATTTCATGTCATGAGTATTGTCTTGATGTCTATCGTATTCCACTGGCGCCTACATCGATCAGTTGTACAGATGAGCTAAGAAACTTAGAAAACTGTTTATTAATTCCTTGTACAAAGTAAAGTATTGTAATCGCGAAAATTTTGGATATCATATCTCAGAGAAAAATATCCGTTTTGACCATTCCCGAATACATTTGAACGATTTTTTTGCGTGACATCTGTACATATTGAAAGAACCCTTTTTTTTCAAAAAGGATTGTAAAGTCAATTTAAAATGAATTCAAAAGGAAATTTTCGTACCGTCTGCTCGTACGTATATGTATGTATCTCGCATAACTCGAAAACGATTAGTCGCAGAATGCTGAAATTTTGTATATGGCATTTTTATAACATCTAGTTGTACATCTCCCTTTCTTATTGAATTGGCAGTGTCAAACGTGTTTATATTATATACATATATATATATATATATATAGCTATCCCCTTACACGTCTTAAATGTCTTTATCCGGCCTTTATTTTCGCAAGCATTGGTCGTAGTCATACACTTTCGATTACAGAAGGGTTTTAAATGACAGATATATTCATATTTTGGCAATGTCAAATTTTAGAAAAAGATTTTTTTCGAGAAATAATGAAACCTAACTTTTAATTTGGTCTCCTGTTTCCTATACTAATATTTGTGAAAATTCTATACTCGTTATGAAGAAATAAAAATATTAGAAATTTGACCCCCGTACGAGAAAGACCGACTGGGAATTTAATTTCAAAACTTGCAATCTTTATATCATTTTGAACTTGCCCAGAGGGACTGACTGGTAAATTAAGTTAGAGTGATTCGAGGAAATACGTTTAAACGAAATGCAGCAAAAAGTGCGTGTAATTTATAAGCCGTACAAGGAAGTCATGTGGTGCCAACATCACATCTCTTGTTCAATTGGTTGCAATGTGCCATTTCGTATAGGAATAAATTAGATTTTATTTTGTACCATTACGTTTCACTTTTCTATGAGCACAGAAGATACAAATGTGACTTTGTACCAATGAAAAAGTACTGATAAATGCTAAGCTTGAGAGAAAAGGAATGTACTACTTCTAACACTATAATCAATAATCGAAAACAATCGAATAAAGATTTAATGCTTCATATTGTTATGGATTTTGTATTTAGTTTGTTATTTTTAGTAGAATTATAATTAAAATTGTTTTATATCCCAGTGCAATGCAGCACGAGACTTATTTTAAGAGAAAGCTACGCCGAAAAAGTAAAAATACAGGAGCACGCGCATTTAACATTTAATAAATAAATATCTCGTAAGTTATATCTAAATTGAATAAACGTAATTGTCTACTGTGTTAGCTGTAACCGTAATTCTACTCTTTCGCTTCCAAGAAACCTCCAGAAAACAGAAATTACCAGAACCTTCTCGTGACCGATTAAAAAGCTTTAAAAAGCCGGAGAGAGGCATCTCAGCTTCGTTGTTGTTTAGTGAGCTGTTGTTGTTTACCTTGATCGGATTAGATTTCTCTGTGCTTTGCGTCCTATTTAACGTTTATATTGGTTTAAAGTATAGCTGCTGATTATGTTGCGTGAAATTGCGATATTGTATGAATATTTCAATATCAGCGAAAATTTTAGAGTTTTATTATATTTCTTGCGAAAGAAATAAATTTTATTTACCTTTTATCGGACGTGTGCATTCAGTCTGCTACGAACCCTTACGCACGCAACAATATCTTAAAAAATTTATTGTTACAAGCAAAAAAACTTTGGGGCTATAAATAATAAGATTTTGAAAAAAAGCGCTTTTAAAAACAAAATTTAATATTTCATTAACGGATCACAAATAAAATAATTTTAGCTTTATAAACAGAATATAGTGCTTTAATCTACTTCTCCTTTGTAAAATATCTAATTTTTAGATACTTATTTTCTTAATACCTACAACCATTAACGGGATCTCAACAATGAGGAAAATATTTTCGGTTAATTTACGAGAAATTGAGAGAGAAAATACGCTGTTTAATTGATAAGAACTGTTTTCTGTACGGCCGAGCTTAATAATAGCTTAAGAGAGAATGGCCTAAAACGTCTGACGCTTGCTAGCCAGAATCTCTGGTTCTCTCTAACTAAGACAGTAGAACTTCGCGGTTAAATACCGCTCATCTTCATTTGCATTCAAACGTGATTCTAAAACTACATTCTGGCGAGAAGTTGTAAGTTGAAATTCAGAAATGATAGGAAAGAAAGTTTAACTCAAAATTTAACTGTTAGATAAATTAATATAATCCTTACATGCTAATATTTAGACACTGATATTTGCAAATGAAACTGAAAAACACAAGTGTCCGAGAACAAATATGAGCCACTAAAATTTTTATGTTACCCTATTTTCCTCTAAGTTCCGTTTTGTTTAGTCGATAATGACCTTTAAAAGTAAACTAAAATAAAAGTAATAGAAAGGCAATTGTTGAATCAGTACAAATTTCATAATAATTTGCAGCATCTAAGAGCTATATTTCTCAAGAGTGCATGCTTAAATAATTTGAGTTTTTAAACATATAAACTACAGACAAGGGCTTCATTTATAACATTCTCCCTCTAGTTTCGTCAAGTTATGCATTAATAGTTAGTTCACTCGATAACTTGGCGAATAAACAATGCTTTATATTTCAATGGAAAATTTACCTTCTGTTGCTGTGATGAAATTCCACGGGCAATAGATATTATTGGCCTCTAAGGACTAATAAATAAAATCACAATTTTTGCAAATTCTTTCCCAAATACGTAATCAAATACGTAATACGTGTAGAAAATATTAATAATTTTAGTTTTAAGATAATATGCTTTTAATAGTTTTCGGGTAAACAATGAAGGTAACGAGACACACATGAAATCTTTCTTGTACTTAAAAAAATGATTACTTAAAACATATACTATAACTTCCAAGACTCATACCATACCTGTTTAAGAATTCATATTCAGTAATTTTTGCATAAAATGTAAGAAATATAATAAAAGATTATAACAAATCTTGCAGAGTGATCAGAATTATTCATCTGATGTTACCTTTCTAATTCTAAACACTGATAGTTAGATCTGGATTCGAATCCGGGCAAACTAGCTGGCTGCATTGAGTGTTTTAATGATTTTTCTCTTGCGTAATGTGAACATGAGTTAGCTTCTTATAGAAGACCTTCCACTAAGGCATATGTCCATTTAAGCAGCTAAACAAGCACTCGATCCTTCTACCAGCTGACCAAATATCAGCTAAAATTCAACTGTTTTTAATCTTCAAATTATAATAACTGTAAATATAAAATACTGCAGCCCATCATTCATAATCTTCCATTTCAATCATTTGTAATCACATATCATACAAGTGAATATTCTTTATTATAAAAAATATATATTTCAGACTTTAAAATTACATGCTCGCTTTCATGTGTTAAAATAAGATCTGACGAATCAAACATCAGGTTTTTATTTATTTCTTAATTAATCATACCTAATCATATGATAATTATTTAATTTTTTCTTTCATTAGTAAATAAGAGTGCCTAGTATTTGATCCGAAGCAGTAATTATGATAATAATGACGAACATTTTCTTAATTAACTAAAAACGTAAGTGAAATACAGAATTATTTGTTCTACTAGAAAGTTAAAGTTAAATTTATTCATGAAAGAATATTAAGATTTATCTAATTAAATTTATTTTCCCTAATGAAAACATATTCTAATGAGCAGATATCTACCTGGAATATAAGCAAAGATCGCATTCTTTTTTCTAATATTTTATTCATTATTTTATAAAAATGTAATGTGCAATATGCTGTCACTTAATTCATTCTGAAACGCTAAAAAATTAAGAATTTGTTTTGTAGAAACAGAGTAAAATAGAAAGTAAAGGCTATGAATAAAATAAGATTATTAAGATGTAATCATCTAACTGACAATTTAGTCTTAATTTCTTCATGATTCTATCCATAGTGAAATCATTAATTTTAGCAGATTAATATTTATTGAACTTCTGAAATCTTTCATTTTATTCACTGTGTGGCACAAACATTTAACACATTTCAAAATATATCTCGAAATTTATATTTTTAGTTAACTTCTTTATAGTTTATTCAGTAAACCCATATTAATAACTAACTGTGTAACAGAACTGAAAAAGATCCGTAAAATAATATTTATAACCTTTTGAAATACATATAACACTTTCATCACTTCTAAATAATGTTGTACGAAGGTGTTTTTATTGTATTAAGATGTGTCTGACACCATTCATGGTTAACCTTTAATTACCTACTGCTTCATTCCAACACTATTTAATTCTGATAAAATAAAACATTTCCCATTTCTATTCCTTTAGATTTAATGTGCCTCAAGAAAGTGAATCGGAAAAAAGAAACTTCAACTACAAGCAACTTGAAGAAGCTTTGAAAAATCTTGATTCGAATGATGTGTACACTTACGAACAATACAAACAAAATCATGTAAAAGATTCCCGGATGTCTTCGGAACAAGCACAGTCGGTTCTCCAAGGCAGTCTTCCCGGATATGGTAAACAGAATTATGATAATACTTTACTACTTCCTATTCCTTAAAGTGCAAATATTTTTGCTTTGCACTGTTGTTTGAAGAAAAATGAGCGCATTCGAAGGCAACCTCCTTTATTAAGTAAAACTTAATTAAGGTCCTATAAAATTATAAAAATCCTAATTATTGCTTAGTTTTTCTGTATTGATATGCATTTTTGACGTATGTAACAGCCTGTATTCGAGGCATACTTTTATTTTCTTCAAAATAGCTCTAATTCGAATGCTGACTAAATTTTTGTCCTTCAATGAGCCTGAGTAATTTAGGATAGAGAATACTGTTTTTTAATTGTTAAATATTAGACGTAATTAGTAAAGAATGTATTAATAAGCTTCCTTTGTATCTGCTACACAAATTACTTATTGCGTGATTTTTGTATGTTAATCTCCCTTTTTATTTTGGTTCCATCCCCATCCCCCAATTTTAAGAGTAAATATTCCAAAAGTAATATTCATGTAATAGAGAAAAGAAATATCATTGCTTTATAATTTTTTCTGCTGAAGCGAATTTAAATTTTTTGAATTTACTTAAAAGAATAAATTTTACATTATCCAGAAATCAATCTAAAGTAAGTTTTAAATGATAAGAAATTTCCATTTTTTTATAGAAGTCTAATATAGAGTCAAAATAAATTCGAATGTATTATGGGTTACTTTTTTAGATACATTTCTAGCCATTGTCTCATTCTGATCAAAATGCCATAAAATGAAGTTAATTCAATTAATCCGCACAGAAGATAATTCTTCAGCAATTACGACGACCAAAGAGAGATGACAATCTCATCTATTGTCAGCAACAAAATGCGCCCGAAGCAATTAGTCAAAATTTGCTAAGAAGTTGCTCTTTTTTTCCGTATTATTATCATATTTCTAACGCCCGCAGTTATGTTAATAATTATTAATAAAATATTCACTTGCATACTCATTTTGAACAAATAGTTCACATTATATCAAAAATAACGTATATATGTATGTTTATCCTCTTTTGCACTGAACAAAATGCAATTTTAATATGCATATACACAATGTATCTCTTTTTTTTTTCCTTCTAGAATCACAGATGCTGAGTTTACTGATAGTAATCATTGTTTTAATCATTGTAATCGTCGTAGTAATAGGATTCAGCTTATGGTGTTATATTCATACTCACCGCAGACGATCCGACAGCGCCGATATTGAAACGATGTCAACTTCTGGTTCTTCTTTCATGGCATATCACGTCGGCGATAATGACGCCCTCGTGCGGTCGACACCCGGAGATAATTCTCTTCCAACCATTCCCTTTCATGACGGAGTATACAACAGCCAGACATTTCCTCGCAATGTAAATCCCTTTTATGGAAATCAGGTTGCTCTTGTTTCTTTAAAACCTGTAAAAGAACTCTATTAAACATAAACATTACTGGAATGCGTACCTTTGCGGTGTTCGTGGGATTCTTCGCTTAAAAATGTATTCTATAAAGGTACTAAGTGTCAAAAACAAAATGAATAAAATTATTTTTGATGTTACGCGATATGAGTATTTTGTTACATATTGTTTATTTAATATGAAAACTTTGTCCAACTATACATTTTTCCTATTTTTAGACCTCATACTATTTATGTTGTTAGTCTTAAAAGAAACAATAATTTGTAAAAATAGATGAAAATTTTTGTTATAGAATTCATAAACCTGTATTTTTATTCTACATGTTACTTTACTGCTACATATCTGAGGATTTTGTCTCATGTACTGAATTTTTCTCTAAGAAAATAAAGATACTACTTAAAGTATTAGCAGCGACCATCTCTAAAAATGACTAATATTTCAGAGAACATAAAAAATATTAATACACATGATTATAATATTCTGTAAACAAAAAATTTACACTGCGAAAAAAAATGGATAGTTCTTATATCTTCTGTTCTACTGGGCCGATTGACGAAATTCAAATTGCGTTCTTCATGTCTCGAAAGCACGACCTATTAGATTTATATGTAGCACTATTCTAACAAAGGTATTTTGATACAAAATCAGACTTTTTCTAAAATAACATACCAATATTTTTACATATTTCGGTTCTACGATTCAAATTATGCCTAAATATTAAATTTTGTAAAATTTGGTGCGAAATTTACGGAGAAATTCAACAATTTATGTTGGCACATTTTTTTCAGTTTGCGCCAAGAAAAGTTCACTTGGCAAACTTCTTAATATATGGCAACCTATTTTCATTTCCCTTTTTACATCGTGCGAAAGTGACAATTGTTCCTTCTTTCAAATAATGTTCTTTACATTATATCTTTAATTATAATTGTTATTATTTTAAGTAATTTTTTTTTTTCTTTTCGAATTTTATTTTAATTGTTTAAGTTGCAGGGTTTCTTTCAAATAACTGATTTAAAAATTTCTACTATTTACTCATTCGAACTGCGTAGTTTAAATAAAAGGTACATTGTTATTTTTTTTGATTCAGATAGTAATAATATACTATATTTTTAGTCATAGTTAAAATATACTATATTTTAGTCATAGTTATTATTTTAGGTAAATTTTAATTTTTAGACTTTTATTTTAATTATTTGTGTTGCATTGTCTCTTCAGATAATTGTTTTAAAATTTTCTATCTATTCATTCGAACTGAACATTTTAAATATATTTATTAATATAAATTTTCCAGAATTTGATTTTATTTATTTGAATTGCATTTCTTTCGGAAGAATACTTTGTGACCCAGACTACGATGCATTTGAAAACTGCATATATTAAAAGAGAAAATACAGTAAAGCACAGTGAACACGCCTTTCAATGTTCCTTTCAGAAAAAAAATAAAAATAAGAGAGATGTATAACCGACATTTAATTTAGGATGACTTGCATACATTGCGTTAAACAGTTTTATCATTGTGCCCATTTCTTTACACAATTTTATCATCCTGCATTTAGTTTGTTAAAATGTTATTCATATTTTAGTCAAATATTTTATTTTTGAAATCGCAGGAATCAAATATCATAAGATCAAAAAAGTTTTAAATTTAAAAAAAATACTAAATTTTATGGAAAAATTTATTTTTTCTTCATAATCGCTTTTTCTTTAGGCAATCTGCCAGTATATTAAAAAGCATCCAACTTTTCGAAACATCTTGGTATTTCTGACATTCATTTTAAATAAAGTTATCGCCTTCCATTTCATAGAGGCCCACAAACGGCCGATCGGTAAAGTCGTTAAACACTCATAGATCGCTTCGGGGTTCGAATTCCAGCAAACAGAGTGGTTGCGTGGGCGTTTTCATGGTTTTTCTCATGTGTAACGTGCATGCCAGCTGGTTTCCTTTAGAAAGTTCTTCACGAAGGCATGCTTTCTTTTAGACAGATAGTCTTGCTTTGCCGTAATTTAATAACCCATTTCATCAATATATGGTCAGAGCCTTTCTCAGTCTTTAGAAGCTAAGCATTTTGAAGGCATGAGATGAAAGAAAAGACTGGTTTCATCAAGAGGGAAAATGTGTTTAAATGATATCCATATCCGTTTTAGAGACATTAGGAATTTTTGGAAGCAGGAGACTTAAAAAATGAGCAATGCTCTCGTCGGGAATCGAACCCCGGACCTCTCGAATACACGCCGAGCGTGCAGACCACTACACCAAGAAAGCACGCTAAGAAGGCGATAGAAATACCTTATATACTCCCTCCTTTTAAAGGGCGACTGGGAATTAGGGGACCAAACCGCCAAATCCTGATGGTGAAGAATAATCATTCACCACCTTTTAGTTCGAGTGCCACTGTAGAGACATTAGGTATTTTTTTGGAAGCGGGAGAAATGAAAAATTAACAATGCCTTCGCCGGGAATCGAACCACGGACCTCTCGAATAGGCACCGAGCGGGCAGACCACTATAACACAAAGGCACGCTAAGAAGGCGGGAGTAATACCTTATAACGTCACTGGATAAATTCCTGAATCTTCAAATAATTCGACTGAGAAATCATAGGATGTTCCGTTTGTGATGCGATATGATGCTCTATGACGTAATTTAAATTTATACAACCATATAGTCGAAAACCAGTCGCTCTTCAATTTAATATGCAATGATATGGTTTTTGTTTTTTCCGTTAGTACTAACATAATTGCTGTTAGCTGTGTGCACGTCCAAGCGTTTTCTTTTTGAACACCCAACTTCCTTGAAGTAGATTCCCCTTTAAATTTTTTGTTCCCCCCCCCCAATTTCCTTCTTTACTTCTACATTTGTTTTCAGTGCTGACACAAGAAAATTAAGATTTGTCAATTGCTACACTTCCATAAATTTTGCATTCTTGTCAAATTTTTTAAAATATTCGTTGCATCAAATGCGTTTCAGCTTTTCAAAGCTTTTCATTTTCTAGACATTTTAACTAAAATAAAGTTTTAAAGTAAAGTCGAAAGGATAAATATTTGAATTAAAGATTTTTATTAAATGAGAAAGAAATAAACCACTCCAGCAGCGCTTATCCTGTACCAAGAAGTGGCCCGAGTTTTATATCGGGTGCAAACCATCTAAATCATATTATTTAGAGTTTCTAAGCCTAATAAATCCTATATTAAAGAACATGTTTTTTATATAATCTACAACACGAGAGAAAGTTACTATTTAAAACATTAAGAGAATTAATGTAAAAATTTATATTTATATTGTGGTGTTGCGCGGCCCCAACCTACACGCAACAATAATAGTAACTGCTATGAACTGGAAAGTACACAAAACTCTTAAGAAGGGTTTAACTCCCTTTTTATTCTACTTTAGAAGTTACAGATGCGTGCACTTGACGCTCACAAACTACGCCGACCCGGCGGTAAAATAAAAATAAGAAACTAAAAATGAATAATAACAAGTTACTACCTACGAGGCTCTCTAAACGTAACTAACCTAACCGCGTTCTAAGATACCGCTGATATTTCAGCAAACTTCTGAATATTAAGTTGAAAGATTCAACTATCTGCCGAGGCAAGCACACAGGCCGAAACGCGCGGTTCTTCAATTTCTAGCAAGAAAGCACACATTCGAACTCGTTTCCTTTCTATTTAACTCAAATTTACTTCCGCTGAAAATCTGAATACTTTGCGCGTTCTATTAAAATTTACATACTCTGGCATTGGCAATTCCAGGAGAAAGTAAGGCTTGACAGGAAAGATAGTTTAAACTTAAAATAAATGTTAGTTAAAATAAATATAAACCCTACAATATATATATTTTTTAAAGCTGGGACATGACCCAAACTTTCAACGTCCTGTTTGCTTAAAACATTGTGAAAATAAACATCAAACGAACTTTTTCAGTTTTAGACAATTAAATTTAAATGAAGTTAAAGTAAAGTAGCAGACGATAACACGGCGAAGGTAAAAATTTACACTTACAAATATTTAAAAAAAAAAGGAAAAAAGAAATTTAATAAAAAAAAGTTTAAAATTTGAATAACATCATCTATAATTTAAAAACAAAGCTTTTCATATAGTATTAATAAATATTTATTGCACATCATTGAGGGAAAAATTTTCATATAATTAATTCTTCATAAAACTTTATTTAAAATTTAAGGTTAAAAATAGCTGTGGCAATTCACTGTAACAAAATCCATAAACCATATTTGGCGTTATTATCGCTCAAAAAAAGCTGCCAAATTTCAAAACACGAAAATATGTAAATTTGTGTACATCTTAGAACATTTTGAATAAAAAACTCTAATTTTTTGCAGGTATGCTTAGAAATACATCTACATTAAGATGATGGTAAAAATTATTTAAAAATACAAATTTTAAAAATAAATCATAAAAAATAGGTGAATTTTGTTTGGAATGAACTGAAATTTCGAAATGCGAAAGGAAAAATCAAAAACGTTTCATAAAAAAGAGATATTAATAAATATATGCTAAATTCAACTAGCATTGAGGAGCTAAAATTTTGAGAGTTAATGTTTTAAAAACTACACATGCGATTTTTACTAAACTTGGCAGTCTGGCATAATTTGAGTCGTAGAATCCAAATATGTAAAACAATTGGTATATTATTTCAGAAAAAGTCCGATTTTGTGTCAAAATGCCTATGTTAGAATAGTGCTATATATAAATCTAATATATATCCTAAGTCGCGCTTTCGAGACATGACGAACGCAATCTGAATTTCATCAATCGGTGCAGTAGAACGAAAGATAAAGAACTGTCCCCCCCCCCTTTTTTTGCGAGCGCAGCGTACATTCACAAAAAAAAAGGGGGGGATTTTCTTTTAAAGAAAATAGATTTTTATATACCTTTGAATAATTGATTTTTGTACTCATTTCTGCGTAATGAAATTTATCTTAGAATATTGTTTGTGACACAGTTGAACTTAACTTAGTAATAACATACTTGAACTATTTCATTTCCTGGCTTGTAGTGATGTGACAGATATGGCGGGTTTTATCCGCTACCATCGTTAATAAGAAATTATGATTTCAAAACATTGTCTATTTGAAATATAAAATTCTCAAGGAAAACGCGAATTATACTCGATGCACATT